ACCTATTGTCTGTCCCACCGTAAGGCCCACTCCCTTCTGATAAGGATTGTTCCCCTGGAGAAGAGTTCAAAGACATCTAAGGCCAAGCCAGCTCAGAGAAGACCAAGGTTAGGCTGCCATCTTGACTCTATAGAGCCCGCCGGTCTTGTTACATATGTAACTTCCTGTCACATGTATGCCTCTAGCACCTCCCTTCCTATTTTGTGGATACTCCTAGCTTGTCCCCCTCCTGTTATGTACATGCTTACTGTGGCCTGCATGTCTGAGATTACATAAGCTCCTGACACTACAATGCAATCTCTCTCTGCTTAGACCTGGTTCCTGAAACAATCGCAGAGGTGAGTTCTTGCATGCTTTATCTTGTCTGATGTCTCTTTAATATACCTCTCAATTGCACAATCACCCCTTGGACCCATTTGGTTATTGGGAGACTGGTCCCCCACAATTCATCACAAAGGGTGTGTGGGGTGAGGAGTACAGTTCATTTTCTTAAACCTTTCCATGTCTTGAGGCTCTACCACATTAACTACCTATAATTTGAAATATAAAGAATAGGAAAAATATTTAGAATAAACTTATTTTTCTTCTTAGGAGATTATTTATTCTCTTAAAATCTTGGAGAAACTAGAGCCATCTGATGTGTCCAGGGAAACTTTAGACCATGTGATCAGAATGTCAGAAGTGGTGTTCCACAGGCAGGAGCAAGATCATTTGCATTCATTCCTTAGAGCCTTCTAGTACAGAGAAAAGTATATACATATTTTAAAATGCAGGAAAGATGCGTGTAAGTTGTACACTTGTCCAGCATACTAAGTTGTTTCCAGAGGTTGCAATATGCAAATAAGGTAAGATCTCAGGATGGCCCAGGAGATGCAGAAAAACAATTAGTTGACAACAGAATTTATCTGTCCTAGGCATTGTGATATTTTTCCAAACACTGTCCAGACCCTCTGGCAATTTTGACCCACATGTTTTTTAGCTAACATTTTTTATTCCTCTACCCGCAATAGCGAACTAATGCATGGGGGGGAAAAAAATCAAACATCATGTTTTTGTTTTTTTTAAATTAAAATTTTGAATTTTATTTGAAAAATACAATACACAGAAGAGAATAATTTTCTCCCCTACTGCTCTTTCACAAAGGAAACCATATAGTCGATGTAACTGAAATATTTGGCTAGGGTAGATCCTGAGAAAAGAGAGGCCCAGTTAGAAGTGGAATTGACAGTTTGTCAAAGAAGGTTCACCTCTCTTTTAACATAAAAGACCCTTTTAAATAATCTTAGGACTCAGATAAAACATGTGCAGACTTTCTGCCATGCACACAGAGACTACTGAAAATTTCAGGTTGACCGATTTATACTGACCTGGGCCCCAAGTAACTAGAATAAAAAGGAGATGTCTTCATTAGAAAGATATGTGTTTGCCTGCTTTGACTAGACTACATATGTGCATATTTACATATTTATATATCCTTCGAGTATATTTTTTATTCTTGGTAATACCTCCATTAAGGGCTCTGTGCTTTTTGCCTTGTGTAGATCTATGTATACAATGTTTTTAATTTCCTTTATGGCAGGGACTCATTAGATTACCTTGTGCCAACGAGTGGCCTTTATATATCACCTACTTTACTCTCTTCTGGGGTTTAAGAAGGCTTTTAAAAAGAACTTATACTTCTTGCCATCAGACCAGATCAGCGGTGCAAAGACCTCAGTAGTGCAGTATTTAAGTAGGGTTTCCAGCAGGAAAAGCAGAAAGTGTGGCTGCTGAAAGGTCACTGGGTCAAATCTACCTGCCATTTCATGGGGGTGATGTGGCAGTCTGCTTCTGTAAGGATTACAGCCTTGGAGACCCTAGGGGGCCCTTCTACTCTGTCCCATAGGGTAGCTGTGGGTCGAAAGTGACTCTCCTTCAATGGGTCCCACAGGAAAAAGGTTCCTACTTACTCCACATGTCTTTGGAAAGAAAGATGATACAGGGGATAGAAGCTATATGATTGGAAAAGCCTTCGTAGTAATAGCGATCCTGTCTCCAAGGACCCCATGGTCACCTCCTCACTTGCATGTCCAGTGACTCCTCCCTGTCATTATTGTCTAAAAGTGTCTTTCAAAAGGGTCACAATAGCTCCAACTTTTCAAAGTCTAAACTTCAATAGAAGTAAATTGCTTTGGAAGTCTGAGGTTGGCAAACACGCGGCTTTTCTCTCTTCTTTTTTATTTTGGTACTAGGCATCTATTGGGAAAGACCCACAATTCTTTGGTTATATTTACTGAGTTCTACTGAATGTAGAGGGCCCCTGGTGGCACCATGAGTTAAGCAGTGGACTGCTAATTGAAAGGTTAGCGGTTCAAACCCACCAGTTGCTCCACTGGAGAAAGATAAGCCTGCCTGCTCCCATAAAAGATTTACAGTCTAAGGAATCCCATATAGGGTTGCTCTGAATCAGAATCAACTTCATGGCCATGAGTTTTTGTAATTTAAAGAGAAAATTTTCCAGTTAACCTTCTCTATGAACTGTCAAGGCTCATTTGGGCTCACATAAGCCTGACCTACCCAAAGGAGGTTTAAAGATTGCCCTTACTATTGAGGGGTGAATGCAATGGCTTTCTTCTGGTCTCCTTAATCCCCCTTACACTGCCATGGTTTGCACCTTCATTCCGCTGTCTCAGGAGAACCTGTGCTCCCAGGGTTGGGGACTGGAGATGGGGAGAGGGACCTCTCCTGAGGGGTGGGGTTAGGGACTGAAGATGGGAATGAATGCCATTTGATGGAGGCTTTGCCTTGACAATCAGTTTCACATCTAGGCTCTTGACATTGTTATTAAATATGATTATAAATAGTTCGTTATCTATTTGCCTATCTTAAAAGGTGTTCATTATCAAACTACCACAAAGATTTTGCTATTCTCTCTTGGCATTTCTTTCCTTTCTTTTTTTTAATTTAAAGGTAGGTAGCTGCAAAAGACTTTGCTGACTTCTGAACGGCCTCAGTTTGTTCACAGTGGTCTGGCCACTGTGGGCTACGGGAAGGGAGAAAATCTGAGCCAGAGTACTCGAGTTTGAGTTTTACTCTTCCTTACTGTATGTGTGTGTGTGATTTAGTTTGTTATTTACCCTGCCTTGGACTCATTTTTCTCATCTATAAAACTACAGCCATTCCCTTTAACGTGTACACGGGGTCCTTCTAATTATTAAATACAAAGACAGAGGTAAATGGACTTTGCTAACTAAAAAGTACCACACAAATGCAAAATAAAATATTCTACCCCTTTTATGGGAGGTCAATGATGTGCCAGGGTGTAATTCCTTCCCACTTGCCTGATGTGGAATCTTGACTCTCATAAAAGCCAAAGGAAGGAGGCTTTGACGATGCTTGACATGCTGTCCCCGCGAGAAGATTGCTCAATTATGGGTGTCATTGCTGATGTCAGTCCTTTCACCATCTTAAATACTGCCTGTCTTTAAAACCTGTACGTCTACAATCAAACCACGATTTTCAGGAAAACAAGTCCAAATAAATAACTTTTAATTATGATACATTACTTATTACAGTAAAAATGGGCATTTTTCCCTTCAAAAGCAGAAGCACCAGTCTTAGAATGTAGAGTATGGATGGTATTTTAAAGTGAAATATCACATAAGGTAATGTGCAGACATTATTTTAGTATAGAACAGACTTCCTAAAAGTAAGGTGGTTTCACACGCTAAAATCTTGTTAGAATGGAAATTATGTCATGCTGAATAATAAAATAAAACTCCCATGACTTTCAAAGTCCACTTCAAATCAAATATGGCATACTGCTGAACAGATAAACGATCAGTTAAAAAAGCTTAACCAGCCCCACATGGAGGGTTCTCTTGAGCAACGATGACTCCTCGGGGTTCTTTTCACATAGTTGGCGTGATAACTGTGAGAAACTAAAGTGAACGTTTTATTTAAGAATTAATATGTTCATTTGCATACAATGTTTTATTGAACACCTACTTTGTGCTTGATATCATTGTAGGTGCTGGGGGTACAGAGAAGTGGACACAGTCCTGCCCTCGAGGGGCACCCGGTCTAGTGGGGGAAACAGGCTGACATGGATTCTAAAATTATAAAAATCATTAGACGACGTTAAAAGCCTCTCTAGTGATCAAACAAACTTTGGGTGCTATGGATGGATGGTAAAGAGGGATGATGTCCAATGTAGGGAAAGACCAGCTGCTTCAATATCATGTGACTTCCGCGAAGGCCGCGATGTGGTTCTGCAAAGAGACAAAGGAATTGTAAAGTCAGAATCTCAGGGAAATTGGTTTGATAAAGCAGTCAGTGCTTTTTACTAATAGCAGCTAGCCTAAAGTAAAATTACTGTCTGTATATGTTGAAATTGCACAAACATACAGTGTTAATAATCCATAATCTATGTGCTTTTGTATGTTTAGCTGTTACTGAGAGATGTCAGTCAAGGTTCCTAATTAACCCAACAGAATATAATGTCTGCTTTATTCTGAATTAACATTTAAATTTGGGGAGATAGAAGTGGCAATGGCGGAGACATTAATATTCTGTCCATTGTTAAAACAGAATTTAATGGCGCACACCGGGGTTACAGATTAATTGCTCCCTGTGAGACAGATGGCATAGAATGAGGTGGCGAAATGCTCAGACTGAAATGGCATTTGCTAGTCGACAAAAACTGACAAACAAACATACTTCATTTTTGATGCATGAATTCAGACTCCAAACTCGGCAATCGCTGTTAATTACTTTGACCATGTAATTCTTTACAGAGCCATTTAGCCACCCCTCCCTCCCCAAGTAATAGAAATTGTCCACAAAGTGTGCAACCGATCATCTTCTGGTGCTGAAGTGCCATAGGGAAGCACCTATATGCCAAATGAATGCTGCCACATACAGAGCCATGTGGAGATCTAACACCAGGAGCGCTCTCACCAAGGGCAGACGCACCATGTAAGCCATGTGGACCGTCTTCTCAGTAGTTTGTTTTTTAATGTGGACACTTTTTATTTTCCTTTGTTCTTTTAAACGTAGGATCCCTGCTTAAAGCACCTAGGTACTAACCACAAGACTGGAGGCTCAAATCCACTAGCCGCTCCATGGGAGAAAAAGGAGGCTCTCTGCTTCCCTAAAGATTTACAATCTCTGAAGCCCTACAGGGCAGTCCTACGGCGCCCTGGTGGGTCACCATGAGTCAGAACCTAGTCAATGGCAGCGATTTATTTGTATTGTCATAAACAAATAGGGAGCACATTGTTTACCACATCAGCATTCTGCAGGTGTATAATCCAGTGATGCAGTTATGTTTATCACATGCTCTATATCATAAAGTCATCATAGAATTTCAGATAATGAATGCGCACCACGAGTTGATTTTCATGTACATGTAGTTCTTTTCAAGTTAAAACGAAAACATTTTAGCTTGCTAAACTACATTTAAAATGTACGTGAAGAAACTAAACTTCACTTTTACTATATTTCTGCTCATAAACCATAACTAGAAGGTTCCCCTTGACTACAGTTTAGGGTGTTACGGCTTTAGTTTGAGCCACTGAAAAGTAGAAAGAAACGATCCAGTAAGAACCAGTAGTGAGAAAAGCATGCTCACGTTTCCACTATCTCCTGAGAAGAGTCGATTTTCACTGAAAAGGCAAGGTGGAAATATTTGGAAAATTCAGTTTTCCTTACAAACGTGCAAGTGTGGCTTCAGGGACAAACAAAGGCTTGTCAGAGTTACAAAACACATCATAGCTGAAGAAAGGGTGGAAGGGCTGGAGGAATCGTATTCTTTCCGGTGGTCCCATGAGGATTAGAAATTTGTAAGTTGAGAAAACTATGACTGACCCACGGTATCTTGGTACAGTGCTGACAGGAAGGTCCCCCCTCTGGAGAGTACCTAGCATCTAGTCCTTGCTGGAAAGATGGCAAGGTAGCTTCTGGGGGGCGGGGACAGGATACAGAGGTGACGGAGGACAGAGAAGAGAGGAGATATGAGAGAGAAGAAGCAAAATGATGGTGGGGCAGTGACCACTGGCTGTAGGCATGAGGCGTCTCCCCCTTGACCTAGATGCTGAAGCACCCTAAGGTTGGTTAAATTAGCTGAAGTGATCCCATGTGAAGGGGCAACCATCACCCTTTTACTGTACAACTGAAGTATTGAAAGACCGTCACAAAGCTGAAAAGTGAACAAATCACTGCAAATACAGGCAGAAGAGATGCAGAGGGAAACCAACAGGTGTGTGCACCCCAGCGAGCCCGAGGAAGAGGAAGAAGGTGCCGTGACGTGACGGTTGCGTGACTGAGGATGGGCTGCTCCAACTGCACTTCTGGAGGGGGCGGGGGAGCTCATGCATTTTAGGACCATCTCAAAATGTGAGGTCACATTTAGAAATTAGGCATTGAAATATAGTGATATGTGTTACTGAGGTCTTGGAAAATATCAGAATTCGTTGCTGGTGATTAATATCACATGCTAGGTAGCTGCTAGGCCTTCCTTTCATGGCCCTTAAACTGAAAATTGAAAATATTTAAATTTCTTTATACCAAATTGTCAAGTTTTCCTATAAGGGTAACAACATGTTTCAAGACAAATTACAGTTTTAGGCTTTGGTCTCTCGGGTGAGAGACTATAACTGTTGTGTGGAGCGCACTTTCAGTTTCACATCACATTTCAATTTGACTTCCCAGACAATTCTCCCTATTAGACGGAAATGCAAGCATCCTGTGATAGGCTCGTTATTTACAGGTGGCCACGCTTAGCAGAGAGATAAGCCCGTGAAGGAGAACACTGACCTGTGTGTGCATAAGAAAGAAAAAACAGAAGGGAATTGAGTAGTCGGTTCTAAGTACACGAAAGGAGTCATTTGTTCATTAACTTTACTGAGAGCAAATGAACCTATACTGAAGTATGAGGGAGGATTATTTATCTTTGTCAGCTTTAGAAAAAATCAATTATCTTCCAGCTTAGCAATGCGTTTCCTTGAAGTGTTAGAGCTAAGTCCTTCCCACTTTCAATTCTAAACATTTGAATAAGTATGCTGACAAAAATATATAAGCATCAGTGACGTGGAATAGACTCTGACTCACAGTGACCTTAGGGCAACTCTGTGGGAGAGAGTTGAACTGCTCCTTTGCATTTCCAAGTCAGCCTCATCTTTCTTCCGGGTTGCATCTGGTGGGTTTGAAGCATCTTTGTGGTTAGCTGCCCAGTGCTTGATCCACTGCACACACCGCCCCCGCCCCCCCAAGGAAGATATGATATTGCTTACTTCTCATCAGCACATTTTTAGGAGTAAAAAAAATTGACTTGCATTGTATGTTTTGAGACCCCCTTTCCTGAAGAACACAATCAAGGAACTTTTTAATGCTGGTGAAGTCTAAATCAACCGTATTTGTTCATGGTAGCTCAAAGTATAGGCAAGCCAAAGATTCATGCGTAGATGTTTAAATGAGTCACAAGAAGAAAGTGTTTATATAAAGTATCAGCACAGCACGATTACTGGTACCTTGAGCAATTACACATACAGAGACTTATATTAGAGATGCCCAAATTTGAACTCAATGAGTGGAAGATTAGAACGTGCTAACACTCATTAGAAAATGCTCATTCGAGTCCACAGCAAACCAGCGGGAAAATGAAGAATCAAATCCTTGAGTGCAGGAGTGTCATAGAAAAAGACACTTGGTTTCTAAAAAGTAGCAGGGATCCTTAAATTCAATTCATTCTTAAGCTTGTAGGTTATCCATTTTTAAACCTCTATCTTCTGTAATAAAATATCTCTATTTTAATATTTACTCTCAGTCTCATTTGTAGAAGTTACACTCTACTTCTTTTAAAAATGTTACTGGGCATTGTCATTTAGTTTAACATGACAATGTGGTGCTGACTTATCACCTCTGTTTATCTGCTACACAGCCAACCAAAGCCTCACTGCCATCAAGTCCATATGCCGATTCACAGGGCCTCCACGAGGCTGACCTTGTGGATGACAGCTCAGCGCATCACCACTAAGACACAAGGGTCTGGTTATTAAAAAAAAGTGCGGGGGTGTGGGATGTGATAAGCGAAATGTTCGGAATTAAAGCAAGAAGTAAACAAGCAAAAATAACGTTATTGTTAAGGACGATTTGATTGACTAAGTCTAAATTCTCGTCGATTAACAGAAAAATCAGTGGGAAAAGATATTTGAAAACAAAATAATAATCATCTGTAGTTCTTACATATCTTTTGGTTGTAACAGAGACCTGCACAGAAGGATATAATGTTCTGTATGTGCCAAGGTTTTGCAAATCAGTTCCAACACCAGTGCGCTCTAGCGCACATACGTTTATTGCCTTAATCGAAGGTGTTCACAGTGGCTTATTTCCATTATCCAGGTGAATAGCCTTGCAAGACAATCTTTAAATGACCTTTCCTGTGAGTTTTCTTCTTCATCATTCTCAACACATTGGTTTCTGGATACCTATAAATGTATTTTATGTATTAATGGAATCTTAAAATATGTAGTTGGATAAAGTAATAGCTTATTCAAAATACTGTGATGGTATAACATATTAAATTCTTCCAATGATTTTCTTTATATGAAAGCGTTCAGTGAGTTGGAATTGGCTTGAAGGTAATGTGTTTGGTTTGGTTTGTTAACTTAGAATACATGTATCTTTGACTTGGTTGACATTGGCTGTGTGGTCAGTTTGAATGCCAAGTATTTGAATGTGGGCTTCATCACAACTTATCCTTTTATAAGCAATTTTATTCTCCAAAATCCAATTTTTCTTATCTGTAAAGTGGGGATAATAATATCTGTAGGAATTTGTTTTTATTGAAATTAAATGAAGTTATATACATAAAGGTGCTTGTTTTTCAAATGTATCTACAATTTATTTACAGCTATCTATACAAGTAATAGAACTGAGCTTCGAAAAAAAGAGAAGATATCAAAATATTTTCCTCATAATGTTGCATTTTATAAAACAAAATACATCATTTGTTTATTTAACCAACAAGAATAATTCTTTAGGGACAATTACAATACCCCCCAAAACCTTTTAACCCCGAACTATCTTCATATATTAACTTACTGCCAAAACTTGACCTTAAGTGATGGGAGGCGATTCATACTCTGCAGGTCTTGCTGTAGACCAAGCCCCATTTCTGATTTTTGAGATGCTCTACCAGCCTGTACTTATGACACAAAACACACGCTGTTTACCCTTTCTAAAATATAAAATCTTTCGAATACTGAACATT